TTATGTAAAAATTCAGAGTGAACACAGGAAAGAGCATGGTGATGTGGGGTAACAAATAATTTAGGTAATGAATGACTGAATATCAGATTAGAAGGAGGGAATATGGAGGCAATGAATGTGTTCATACATCTGGGAGTAGCCTTGTAGTCTACGAAAAACTTATTTGCCAACAAGTATGAGAAAATAGTGTGACCGAAGCCTGGCCACAGATCAGGCCATGGGGGTATTGACCCCTGAAACCCTCTCCAGGTATATGGGTGTGAAGCATGGGTTGTGAATGTTGCAGCAAGAAAGCTGGAGGCAGTGGGGATGTTGTGGCCGAGGGCAATATTCTTTCTTTCAACAAACCGGCCGTATCCCACTGAGGCAGGGTGGCCCAAAAAAAAAGAAAAACGAAAGTTTCTCTTTCTAAATTTAGTAATATATACAGAAGGGGTTACTATCCCCTTGCTCCAGGCATTTTAGTCACATCTTACAACGTGCATGGCTTACGAAGGAAGAATTCTGTTCCACTTCCCCATGGAGATAAGCAGAAATAAACAAGAACTAGTGAGAAAATAGAGGAAAACCCAGAAGGGTGTGTGTGTATATATATGCTTGAACATTCACGTGTAGTGTGACCTAAGTTTAAGTAGAAGAACCAAGGCATATGTGAAACCTTGCATGTTTCTGAGACAGATAAAAAACACCAGCAATCCTACCATTACATAAAACAATTACAGGCTTCCGTTTTACACTCACTTGGCAGGATAGTAATACCTCCCTGGGCAGCTGCCATCTACCAACCTACTACCTAAGAGAGGGCAATGCATGGTGTAAATATTATGCAAAGAATTCATAGCCTGGAGATTAGGTGGTGTGGTGTACTAAAAGTATTTTCCAGAGGGCTGAGGAGGGGCTGATGAGGTGTTTGGACATTTAGAGAGGATGGAGCAAAATAGGATGACTTGGAGGGTGTATAAATCTGAAGCAAAGGGAAAGTGAGGTAGTGGTTGCCCTAAGAAAGATTGGAGGGAAGGGGAAAGGAGGTTTTGTGTGCAAGGGGCTTGGGCATCCAACAGGTGTGCGAGACATTCTGAAGTGGTGGGAGATGGCTTTTGGGACTTGACAAGCTGTTGGAGTGTGAGCAAGGTAATATTCTGGGAAGGGATTCAGGGAAGCCAGTTAGCCAAACTTAAGTCCTCGAGGTGGGAAGTACAATGCCTGCACTTTGAAGGAGGGGTTTGGGATATTTACTGTTTAGAGTGACATCTAAGCTGTTGTATCTGCACACCTCTTCAAAGATGGTGATAGTATGAATGATGGTGAAAGTCACTTTTTTGGGGCTACCCTGACTTGTGGGAGACAGCCTCTGACAAGCTAACTGTTGAATGAATGGTGAATGTTTCCTCTTTGGAGTGAGGAATGGGGGGCAGCAGGAAGGAAGGTCATCCTACCTTGATGGAACACCGTTGGTGCTAACCCTTTCACGGTCAAAACCCGTGAAATTATAAGTGGTAGAGAATCTTTTTCTAAAGGTAATGACACTAAAAATGCACAGGCACAAAGTTGGTAGCCTGAGTGAAATTTATGCAGCTTTGATTTTGCCCACTCTGAGTCCTGTTTTAAGAAAAAGTTCAATGCTCAGTTCGACCCAATTTTTGCTAATATGCCTTTCTTTCTATCGAATGAGCACAAGCAACTGCCCACTCACCTATCAGAACTACCCTATAATGTGCACAGAAGTTGGTAAATCTGGCAAATTTTATTGTCCAAAATAAGCACTAAGCATTCCAGCTACTAAAGCAACATTTCCTCTGTTCATTAATAATGTACCCAGGCCTCTCTTACATAACATTTGCTCTCCATTTTTAATGCATCTTCCCACAAACAAAACAAAACAAAAAAGTTTTTACCCTAATTCTTGGATAATAAAATGTAACCAAAAATGATTGGTCATAGTTTAGGCTGTCCCAATAACTGAAGCAACTAAAACAAACCAGGGAAGCTAGAGGAAGGCCCTATCCTACCACAGGAAAACTGCCCAAAAATTTTAACATTTCTGCCAATCTGAGCCTTATTTCAAGCCATTTCCTGTCTGGAACTGACTAAAATCATCTTCACTTCACTAGTATGTCTAATTCTATGAAATGACAAAAAGAAACAGCCATTAAAACTCATCCTGAAGAGTGACCCTGGCAGGGTGACCCAAAAACAAAGAAACACTGACCATCATTCAACACTTTCACCATCATTCATGCATGATCACTGTCTTTGCAGAGGCACTCAGATATAACTGAGATGTCACTCCAAACAACCAATATCCTAAACCCCTCCTTTAAGGTGCAAACATTGTACTTCCCACCTCCAGGACTTAAGTTCGGTTAACCAGTTTCCCTGAATCCCTTCACAAAATATTCCTCTGCTCATACTCCAACAGCTCGTCAGGTCCCAAAAACTATTCATCTCCATTTACTTTCTTTAACACACTCGCATATCCCTGTTACATGACCAAGCCCCTTGCACACAAAACCTCTTTTAACCCTCCCTCCATCCTATACTAGGATGACCCCTGCCCCTCCCCACTCCACCACAGATTTATACAACGTCCAAGTCATCTTATTTTGCTCCAACCTCTCTAAATGACCAAACCACCTCAACAACCCCACTTCAGCCTTCTGAATAATACTTTAAGTAACTCCACACCTCCTCCTAATTTCCACATTACGAAATCTGCATAATATTTACACCACATATTGCCCGCAGACATGACATCTCCACTGCCTCCAGCCTTCTCCTTGCTGCACCAATTACAACCCATGCTTCACACCCACAAGTGTTTGTACCAGTATACTCTCATACATTCCCTTCTTTGTCTCCATGGATAATGTGTTTTGTTTCCACAAATACCTCTATGCACCACTCACCTTTTTTATTCCTTCATCAATTCTATGGTTAACCCTGTCCTTCATAAACCTATCTGCTGACAAGTCTACTCCCAAATATCTGAACAGATTCACTTCTTCCATACTCCCTCCCTCCAATGTGATGTCTAATTTTCTATATGTAACTCATTTGATACCCTCATCACCTTACCCTTATCTATGTTCACTTTAAACTTTCTTCCTTTTCACACCATCTTTTTTGGGTTACCCTGCTTTGGTGGGGGAGGGTTGGTGTGTTGAAACTAAATTGAAAATATATGATTTTAACCCTTTGAGGGTTTCGGCCGTACTAGTACGTCTTACGCGCAGGGGTTTTTGACGTACTAGTACGCATAAATTCTAGCGCCGTCAAATCTCTCGGGAAAAGGCTGGTAGGCCTCCTTATGAAAGAATGGGTCTATGTGGTCAGTGTGCATGGTATAAAAAAAATCCTGCAGCACACAGTGCATAATGAGAAAAAAAAACTTTGACCGTTTTTTTGGCATAAAACAGCAACTTTGCACTGTATTTTCGTATGGTATTTATTGTTGTATTCTAGTTTTCTTGGTCTCATTTTATAGAATGGAAGGCATATCACAGAAATTGAGATGATTTTGACTGGTTTTACGATGAAAAGTACCTTGAAATTGAGCTCAAAGTAGCGGAAATGTTTGATTTTTACCAAAGTTCAAAAGTAAACAAATCATGCCAAGCTTCCAATACACGTCAACTGGTGAGTCTAACATTCTTTTGCAAGTGCGCCAATATGATTTATACCATTTTTTACACTAATGCAGTAATCTGCATAACAGTAAATCTTCTATTTTTCGTGAGAATAAAAATTCAAAGTGGAAAGCAAAAGAATGTAAGAGGGGCCTTGAGACGTGACTAATGAACAGAGGAAATGTCATTTTATTGCCAGGAATGTATTTCTTGTTTGTTCTGGACCCTATTCGGAAATTGGCATTTTTTGAAATTTATGTGAAATTGGCAAAATTGCTAAATTCTGACCACTGTTTTGGATAGTTGAAAATGGTAAATGGGTGGTTTCTTGCACTCATTCAATAGAAAAAATGTAGTTCTAGCGAAATATTCATGTTTTTTGTCGACTAGTACAGTGGAATTGGCCGAAAATGGGCTCAAAGTGGGCAAAATCGCCGATGCGTAAACATCGCCGAGACCGCTAACTTCGCGAGAGCATAATTCCGTAAGTTTTCCATCAAATCTCATAATTTTGGTGTCATTATGATCGGGAAAAGTTTCTCTATCTTTTCATAAGAAAAAATAATTTTTTTTTTTTTTAAATTTGGCCGACCCTGAGAACGAGTTTCTGAGAGGGCCTGTCGACCCTCAAAGGGTTAATCAGGGGAAGTGCTAAACCTGTAAGGGTAATATAGGCCCTTGGGAGTAGGCAGCAATCAGGTTCAATCCAAAAAAAGGGAGGACATGTCCAATTTCTTGAACCAAGAACCCCTCATTGACATCAGCATACCTCCCTTGAAGGGTCTGCCTTGGAGTATGGGATCAACCATCTTGCAATTCTTAGAATTATCTGGTACTACTGATTCTTATTTTTTTAAAACTTGCAAACCTAGCTGCTTAAAATTTTCCTTCCCTATCCAATTTCATTTTCATGGATTTAAAGCTGCCTCTCTACCTAGCATTCTGTCAACTATTAAGGACAATTCACACCATCTACTACCTGTGTTTTCCTGTTTACACAAATTAACAAACTGCTAGTTAATGAGAAATTGTAGCAGACTTACAAAGCCTCATTTTCAACCAACTTATTATAAAAGGATTTAACCCATAAACTGTCCAAACGTAGATCTACGTTTTTTTCAACATTTGAAAGTATGTAAAAAAAGTAAGATTTTTTTTTTTACATTTGAAAGCATGTAAAAAAACTTTGATCTACTTTTTTTTTATATTTGAAAATATGTAAAAAAATGTAGATCTACTTTTGGAGCACTACACATGTGAACGTAGATCTATGTTTGGACAGTTTAAGGGTTAAATGGGAAAGCAAGCCTTATAACTAAAATATGACATTCAGTTATTTTAATCACTGAAATTTTAAAAATTTATGGACTGTACCTTTAAATTTTTTCTTGAGAGTTTCATATATGGCAAAACTTGTGCCAGCATATGGTATCACTCCAAGTAAGGTTGGTGTTAAACCTTTGTAAAGTGTTAATGGTCCTTCATTCCTCCAAATCTTTATAAATACCTGAAAGTCAAAACATTAGTACATAAGAAATATGCATTGGTTATTTGCTGATTAGTATGAAATATTTTAAGGGAAAGTTTTATAAATATAAACAAACTAAAAAAAAAAAAAAATTCTGTCTTTACCTCAATAGCCATCTCTCCACTAAGGAAGGGTGAACTCCCCCTCCCCCCCCCCCTAAAAAAAAGAAAAAAAAAAAAAAAAAGAGGAAACACATTCACCATTCTTCATCAAACGTCTCACCACACGTGTGCTGACATCACAATCAATTTAACCCCTTATTGCAACATCCTCACACCTGCAGAGAGCAGGCACTGCCCTTCCCACTTTTGAGACATTGAGCAAACCAGTTTCCCCAAATCTCTATAAATGTTACTTAGGTCCCATTCCAACAGCATATCCAGTAAAAACCACTTGTCTCCATTCACTTCTATCTAACATAATTAGACAAGCCTGCTGGATGCTCATGCCCTAAAACTTAAGTCTCTTTTACCCCTTACTACCAGAACTAGTAAAGGATCCCGACTTATAAATTTAGGACTTTGCTACAAAATCATCTTATCTCTCAATACTAACCAAATCAACCAAAACAACTTCTAATTAGTTATATTATGTGACCTCTAGTCTTTTAAACATCTGCCAATCCATGAAATATTACTGCTTGAACCATTAATTGCAATATTGTTTTTTATTATGTGCAATTTAAAGTTTATTATTCTTATAAACTTCCACCTTAAGTAGTTACTATGTACTAGGATTAGTCTGCCCAAAATGCCCTGGCATGATAGTGGCTTTCTTTGTACTTAGCAAACCAAAATTGTAATTACACATTGTAACCTTTACAAAGAAAGAAGTAAATCTTTATCTTTATCTTTCTCTCCAACAGTTCCTGGTATGACCCCTACCCCTCCAACAACAGATTCATACACCCTGTTATTTTATTCTCTTCCATCCTCTTTAAATGCTCAAACTACCTCAACATCCCTTCCTCAGCACTGAAAATTACTCTTGGAGGACCCACTCAATCTTAATTTCTATACCCTGTGGCCTGGTGGTCAAAGCTCTCGCTTCACACGGCGAGGGTCTGGGTTCAATTCCCAGCGAGGGTAGACACATTGCACGCATTTCCTTACACCAGTAGTCTATGTTCCCCATCAGTAAAATGGGTACCTGGGTATTAGTCAACTGGTGTGGGTCATATCCTGAGACACAACTGACTTAATTTGCCCGAAATGTTCTGCATAACAAGCAGCTTTCTATATAGTAGTATGTCATTGATGTCAGCTAGGCCTGTATACCTTGCACATGTACTTGAAGAAATAAAGATACAGCCTCTCCTCACTTAGCGACGTACTCATTTACCGACGACTTGGACTTATGACAGGTTCTTTGACCAGTATTTATACCTAAATAATATATGTTAGAGCTGATTTCCTCTATTCTACTTATTACGATATACAGTACACTACTGTATAAACATTAAAAAATATACCAGAAATGCTATAAATGGGGAAAAGGTGACATTAAAACAATGTCAAAGATGGTTAACACAAACCCACTACCATTATAGTATGCTCCTCAATTACCAATTAATTTGTTTACCGACGAGGTCTTAGGAACAGAACTCCGTTAAATGAGGAGAGGCTGTATATTATTATTATTTTTTTCAACAAGTAGGCCGTCTCCCACCGAGGCAGGGTGACCCAAAAAAGAAATAAAATCCCCAAAAAGAAAATGCTTTCATCATCATTCAACGCTTTCACCACACTCACACATAATCACTGTTTTTGCAGAGGTGCTCCGAATACAACAGTTTAGAAGCATATACGTATAAAGATACACAACATATCCCTCCAAACTGCCAATATCCCAAACCCCTCCTTTAAAGTGCAGGCATTGTACTTCCCATTTCCAGGACTCAAGTCCGACTATATGAAAATAACCGGTTTCCCTGAATCCCTTCACTAAATATTACCCTGCTCACACTCCAACAGATCGTCAGGTCCCAAGTACCATTCGTCTCCATTCACTCCTAACATGCTCACGCACGCTTGCTGGAAGTCCAAGCCCCTTGCCCACAAAACCTCCTTTACCCCCTCTCTCCAACCCTTTCGAGGACGACCCCTACCTCGCCTTCCTTCCCCTATAGATTTATATGCTTTCCATGTCATTCTACTTTCATCCATTCTCTCTAAATCACCAAACCACCTCAACAACCCCTCTTCTGCCCTCTGACTAATACTTTTATTAACTCCACACCTTTTCCTAATTTGCACACTCCGAATTTTCTGCATAATATTTACACCACACATTGCCCTTAGACAGGACATCTCCACTGCCTCCAACCGTCTCCTCGCTGCTGCATTTACCACCCAAGCTTCACACCCATATAATGTGTGTTGGTACTACTATACTTTCATACATTCCCTTCTTTGCCTCCATAGATAACGTTTTTTGACTCCACCTATACCTCAATGCACCACTCACCTTTTTTCCCTCATCAATTCTATGATTAACCTCATCCTTCATAAATCCATCCGCCGACACGTCAACTCCCAAGTATTTGAAAACATTTACTTCTTCCATACTCCTCCTCCCCAATTTGATTTCCAATTTTTCTTTATCTAAATCATTTGATACCCTCATCACCTTACTCTTTTCTATGTTCACTTTCAACTTTCTACCTTTACACACATTCCCAAACTCATCCACTAACCTTTGCAATTTTTCTTTAGAATCTCCCATAAGCACAGTATCATCAGCAAAAAGTGTCAGTTCCCATTTTGAATTTGATTCCCCATAATTTAATCCCACCCCTCTCCCGAACACCCTAGCATTTACTTCTTTTACAACCCCATCTATAAATATATTAAACAACCATGGTGACATTACACATCCCTGTCTAAGACCTACTTTTACCGGGAAGTAGTCTCCCTCTCTTCTACACACCCTAACCGGAGCCTCACTATCCTCATAAAAACTCTTTACAGCATTTAGTAACTTACCACCTATTCCATATACTTGCAACATCTGCCACATTGCTCCCCTATCCACTATCATATGCCTTTTCTAAATCCATAAATGCAATAAAAACTTCCCTACCTTTATCTAAATACTGTTCACATATATGCTTCAATGTAAACACTTGATCTACACATCCCCTACCCACTCTGAAACCTCCTTGCTCATCCGCAATCCTACATTCTGTCTTACCTCTAATTCTTTCAATTATAACCCTACCATACACTTTTCCTGGTATACTCAAACTTATTCCTCTATAATTTTTACAATCTCTTTTGTCCCCTTTCCCTTTATATAAAGGGACTATACATGCTCTCCGCCAATCCCTAGGTACCTTCCCCTCTTTCATACATTTATTAAACAAAAGTACCAACCACTCCAACACTATATCCCCCCCTGCTTTTAACATTTCTGTCATGATCCCATCAGTTCCAGCTGCTTTACCCCCTTTCATTCTACGTAATGCCTCGCGTACCTCCCCCACACTTACATTCTGCTCTTCTTCACTCCTAAAAGATGGTATACCTCCCTGACCAGTGCATGAAATTACCACCTCCCTTTCTTCGTCAACATTTAAAAGTTCCTCAAAATATTCTCGCCATCTACCTAATACCTCCCTCTCCCCATCTACTAACTCCCCTACTCTGTTTTTAACTGACAAATCCATACTTTCCCTAGGCTTTCTTAACTTGTTTAACTTACTCCAAAAATTTTTCTTATTTTCATTAAAATTTCTTGACAGTGCCTCTCCCACTCTATCATCTGCTCTCCTTTTGCACTCTCTCACCACTCTCTTCACCTTTCTTTTACTCTCCATATACTCTGCTTTTCTTATAACACTTCTGCTTTGTAAAAACCTCTCATAAGCTAACTTTTTCTCTTTTATCACACCCTTTACTTCATCATTCCACCAATCACTCCTCTTTCCACCTGCCTCCACCCTCCTATAACCACAAACTTCTGCCCAACATTCTAATACTGCATTTTTAAAACTATTCCAACCCTCTTCAACCCCCACACTACTCATCTTTGCACTAGCCCACCTTTCTGCCAACAGTCGCTTATATCTCGCCCGAACTTCCTCCTCCCTTAGTTTATACACTTTCACCTCCCTCTTACCTGTTGTTGCCACCTTCCTCTTTTCCCATCTACCTCTTACTCTAACTGTAGCTATAACTAAATAATGATCCGATATATCAGTTGCCCCTCTATAAACATGTACATCCTGGAGCCTACCCATCAACCTTTTATCCACCAATACATAATCTAACAAACTACTTTCATTACGTGCTACATCATACCTTGTATATTTATTTATCCTCTTTTTCATAAAATATGTATTACTTATTACCAAATCTCTTTCTACACATAGCTCAATTAAAGGCTCCCCATTTACATTTACCCCTGGCACCCCAAATTTACCTACTACTCCCTCCATAACATTTTTATCCACTTTAGCATTGAAATCCCCAACCACCATTACTCTCACACTTGATTCAAAACTCCCCACGCATTCACTCAACATTTCCCAAAATCTCTCTCTCTCCTCTACACTTCTTTCTTCTCCAGGTGCATACACGCTTACTATAACCCACTTTTCACATCCAATCTTTATTTTACTCCACATAATCCTTGAATTAATACATTTATAGTCCCTCTTTTCCTGCCATAGCTTATCCTTCAACATTATTGCTACTCCTTCTTTAGCTCTAACTCTATTTGAAACCCCTGACCTAATCCCATTTATCCTCTCCATTGAAACTCTCCCACCCCCTTCAGCTTCGTTTCACTTAAAGCCAGGACATCCAGCTTCTTCTCATTCATAACATCCACAATCATCTCTTTCTTATCATTTGCACAACATCCACGCACATTCAGACTTCCCACTTTGACAATTTTCTTCTTCTTATTTTTTTTAGTAATCTTTACAGGAAAAGGGGTTACTAGCCCATTGTTCCCTGCATTTTAGTTGACTTTTACAACACGCATGGCTTACGGAGGAAAGATTCTTATTCCACTTCCCCATGGATATAAAAGGAAAAGTAATAAGACCAAGAACTATTAAGATAAAATCAAAGAAAACTCAGATGAGTGTGTATAAATAAACGTGTACATGTATGTGTAGCGTGACCTAAGTGTAAGTAGAAGTAGCAAGACATACCTGTAATCTTGCATATTTATGAGACAGACAAAAGACACCAGCAATCCTACCATCATGTAAAACAATTACAGGCTCTTGTTTTACATTCACTTGGCAGGACGGTAGTACCTCCCTGGGTGGTTACTGTCTACCAACCTACTACTATAATTATTATTATTATTATATTCCAAACCCTCTGCATAATATTCACACCACACAATGCTCTTCTCCATGACTTCCCCATTGCTTCCAGTTTCCACCTCACTGCAACATTCAAAACCCACGAGTCACACCCGTTTAAAAATATTGGTACCACTATACAGTACACTGCCTCATTATCCACACGACAACGGTTGCTTTTAGTACCCTACCCACCTACTCTATATGTGCATGTGTAACATCTGTCACATGGCTCCTGTCCACCCTATCATGTGTCTTTTCTAAAATTCTTAAGAGCAACAGCTCTTTACCCTTATCTAAGTACAGTACTGCTCACTTATGTTTCAACAAAAACAGTCTATATATACCCTGCCTATCCCAAATCCTCCCTGTTCCTCTGCAATCCTACTTTCTCTCTTATCCCTAACTCTTTTAATAATATTACCATACATTTTACCCAATATACTCAACAGCTAACAGGCTCTTTCTCAGTCAGTCTTTGAGGAGCAGAGACTGATGGACAGTGTATCAGCCTCTCAAGCATTTTTTTTGTTTGTCTACAATTATGCCATTTCTATAACCAAGATATCTATCTTATTTACATACTAGTTCTGTAGCACCTTGCTCGAGGAGATTAAGTTAAGTACATGAATCTTTTATCTGTGAATACAGCTCATGAATTAGTATGGGCAACATTTATGTAGGTATTCTGGGAAACAGGTTAGGCAAACTCAAATCCAAAGGAGTGGAGATGCAGCAATTCAGAAGATTATTTGAAAACTGTAATGTCCATGCACTTCTGGCTAGTTTTTTTTTTTTTTTTTTTTTTTTTTTTGTAGAGGATGGTACACTGCTGGTAGTTTTAACAAAAAATAGCCCATGTAAATTGTAGATAGACATGTCAAATGTCTGCATAATGGCCAACAGGGTAAAAAACAAAATGCATTGACAGACAAATTCACCAATGCTAAACTTGCAGATATAGTTCAGTACATGCTATACAACAGTGCATGGGAAAAAAAGATGTGCTTTGTTAAAATCAGTCTACATGATGCTACACTTCTTAAAAATTATCTCTTCAAAGAGAACCAATAGCAACAAAGAATCAAACCTGTAGTAGTGAAGAGTAGGTATCCTTGTGCGTGACAGCCATGCGTGCTCTTGCCATGTCTAATGGATAAGTTAGGAATTGTGATGTTACACCTGCTAATGAACCTGCTAAAAATCTATGATGTGAGGGAGTTCTGAAAGGTACAAAAGAAAAAAACCCATTACTTATGGGAAGGGGGGAGGCAGAAAAACTAATCAATTAAGACTATACAGGTAAAATATTTAGAAGACAATAGAATCAATAAATATACAGAAAAGTCCTTCCCCCCTACATGTCATCCTCTTCCGCTTCCCCTTCTTTCTTAATAATAATAATAATAATACAGCCTCTCCTCACTTAGCGATGTACTCATTTACCGACACCTCAGACTTATGATTTGCTCTCTGACCAGTATTCATACCTAAATAATGTACATTAGAGCTGATTTCCTCTATTCTATTTATTTCAATATACAGTACACTATTGTATAAACATCTAAAAATATACCAGAAATGTTATAAATGGTACAAAGGTGACATTAAAACAATATCAAAGATGGTCAACACAAACTCACTACCATTATGCGACAAATTCGTTTAATGACATGGTCTCAGGAATGGAACTCCATTGCTAAGTGAGGAGAGGCTGTATTTTATTTCAGCATGATACATGTTTGTACAAAGGAATATAATACTTTGGTGTACATGCCAAAGTTCCTTTACATGCAAAGCATTTCAGGCAAACTTAAAACTAATTTAAAATTAATAATGCAATAACAGTGCACATGGTCATTAGGTGAGTTACAATGAATACAAGAGAACTGAATATTCTATTAGGTCATGTTATATGGTTTTAATAAGTTTTGCAGGGAAGAATTACAATTTTGATTATTAACCTTAGGTGGACACAATGGAGTGGTTAACAGTTCAGGTGAATAGAGATATTGAGAGTAAGTATATATTGATTACAAAGTTTTATCTATGTTCATGATATTGAGCAAATGCATGCATAGTTTTTACATATGCATTTATGATGGACTAGGATAGGTTAAGGAAATAAGGTGTTTTTTAACTGTAGTTTTAAAAATGCTAGCTGAGCCAGTGGTTCTGGAGATTTCTGGGAAAGAATTCTAGATTTTGGACCCTTTTATGTGCACTGAGTTTTTGAAAAGATTTAGCCTGACACAGGGAATGTCATAGAGATTTGTGTGCCTAGTGCTGTGTCTATGAGTCCTATTACAACTGTCAAGAAAGCACTTTAGGTCAGGATTCATGTTAGAATTGATTGTTCTGTAAATGTAGGTTGCACAACAGTATGAGTAAATGTTTTGTATAGCGAGTTATTTTTAGGTCTTTGAAGAGTGGGGGTGTGTGTTTGGCAGCGAATTGTGAGATCATTTGCACGACAGCTTTTTGTTGGGATATTATTGGTTTTAGGTGATTTGTTGTTGTAGAACCCCAGGCACAAATAGCATAAGTGAGGTAGGAGTAGATCAGTGAACAGCATAGTGTAAGCAGTGCTGTTTGTGGTACACAGTAATGTATCTTTGAGAGGATGCCAACCAGTTTAGAAACTTTCCTTGTTATGTGTTGGACATGGGTGTTGAATTCCAAGTTGCTGTCAAGGTGCAGACCCAGGAATTTTCCCTCATTATGTTTAGTAATAAGGGTGTTGTTAATCATAATGTTTAGTTGGACCTCACTTGCTTTACTCCCAAACAATGTAAAAGGCTTTGTCTACATTTAGTTCAAGTTTATTGACAGTTATCCAGGATGCTATTTTTGTGAGCTCTTCGTTAACAATACTGTTGAGCGAGGCTAGATTTGGGTGGGAGATGACAAAAGTTGTATCGTCAGCAAAGAGAACAGGCGTAAGTTGCTGTGATATGCTTGGAAGATCGTTGATGTATAAAGGAAAAGGAGGGGGCCAAGAATGCTTCCCTGTGATACACCAGTGTCCAGGGGTCTTGTTGAGGAGGTTGCATCCTTGACAAGACATATTGCTTTCTATTAGTACGGCAGGACTTGATGAATGCAAGTGCATGGTCTCTTATACCATAATGATCAAGCTTGAGGAGTAGGATGATGTGATCTACTGTATCAAAAGCTTTCTTTAGGTCAATAAAAAATCCAAGTGGGTATTCGTTTTTTTCCAGTGCTGCGTAAAGTAGGTCTACCATTTTTATTGTATCATTTGTGCTTTTGTTTCTCCTGAAGCCAAACTGGCAGGGATTAAGGATGCTATGTGATGTTATGAAGGAGTATACCTTTTGTGTACACTTATCATCCGATTTACAACCGAGTTCGGTTCCGAGAAACCGGTCGTAAGTCGAACTTTACTACTGAATATCAACAAAACATTTTTGTAATGACTATTTTATTGTTTTATTTTGGTATTTCATGTTTTACTTTACTTTTTATGTTGTTAGCACTGTATTTTATACTGTAAGGTTTAGGATATACACTGTGTACAACACAAATAGTTTTTTTAGTTCCCAGAAATTTGGCATAAAAAACACGGTCTTAAGTCGAGTGGTCGTAAGTCAAGCAGGTCGTAAGTCGGATGGTAGGTGGGTTAGGGGCTTGGACTTCCAGCAAGCATGCATGAGCGTGTTAGATAGGAGTGAATGGAGACGAATGATACTTGGGACCTGACGATCTGTTGGAGTGTGAGCAGGGTAATATTTAGTGAAGGGATTCAGGGAAACCGGTTATTTTCATATAGTCGGACTTGAGTCCTGGAAATGGGAAGTACAATGCCTGCACTTTAAAGGAGGGGTTTGGGATATTGGCAGTTTGGAGGGATATGTTGTGTATCTCTATACGTATATGCTTCTAAACTGTTGTATTCTGAGCACCTCTGCAAAAGCAGTGATAATGTGTGAGTGTGGTGAAAGTGTTGAATGATGATGAAAGTATTTTCTTTTTGGGGATTTTCTTTCTTTTTTTTTGGGTCACCCTGCCTCGGTGGGAGACGGCCGACTTGTTGAAAAAAAAAAAAAAAAAAAAAAAAAAAAAAAATTAACACACTGGCCGATTCCCACCAAGGCAGGGTGTATGAGCTTCTCAAATATTTTGTTAAGTAAATGCAAGATTGATATTGGCTTATAATTGTTTACATCTGTTGGGTCACCACCTTTGTGTATTGGTGTAATCCTGGCAATTTTGAGTGATGCTGTGAAAGTGATGCTATCTAGCCATTCGTTGAAGAGTAATGTATCCCAAACCATACCCCGGCCGGGATTGAACCCACGTAATGCAATCGTGTCATTACGATTTCGTGAGTCAGTAATGTATCACGGGCTAATGAACCAGATGTAAAATGATGATCCATCTTGAATAAAAGCATTACCTATTGGTATAAATAGGTAAAATAATTTGGATGAAATCAAGTGTTTTCATGACTAACTAAACAAGGAATGAAGCCTCATGCACCAATAGTGGCAAAAGTTGTTGTCTCTAAACCACATGGGATTGCTGACTGCTAATGCTACAGTCTAAAATTTCAGTAAAATGTTTTGGAAAGGCCCCATTAATACATGAAACTGAAAACTCTGGAAACCAAATTAGGAGAGAACAACTTTTCTTCAGTTTATGGAATGACAAAGTTTAACCAGTACAGTAGACATACAAACCCCATAATGTAGCCTGTGTCTATGCCCCTCCTTTGTGCAGGACATTCACATTATTGTAAAAAAAAAAATGTAATATTACATAACAGAGGAAGCTTAAAACATTATAAGAAAAAATTAAACAAGAGACATTTGCACAGCTTCCACACCATGATACATCAAACAATTTGTAGATGATAAATGACAAAAAGAACTGAAAGTGCAACTTACTCTCTGTTGGCTTCATCTATCCTAAGAACTCTCTTAAACTGCTCATGAGCAGTAAACTGAATGGCAGCATAGGGAATAATACGAGCCATGGTTGCAGAGTTTCCACGCCACATACTTAAAAGCCCTTCTTTCTTGTAACACATTACTATGAAACTTAGAGCATGGCGAGCCGAGAACTTCTGTTGCGTAGCCTGAAAGAATCATTTGGTGAAAAATACAAATATGAAAATGAAGTACAGTATTTCAAACAAATTCTATAACTGTCAAGGATTTGAAAATATTTTACAAAATGTATTATAACTGTGTTGTGACTTTTTATAAGTGGTTGCAATGCTAAAAAAACTTACCAAAATTATAAAAGTTAAGGAAGGTTTCTTCTTTCTTTCTTTCAACAAACTGGCCATATCCCACCGAAGCAGGATGGCCCAAAAAAAAAAAAAAGTTTCTCTTTTTAACTCAAGTAATGTATACAGGAGAAGGGGTTACTAGCCCACTGCTCCCGGCATTTTAGTCGCCTCTTACGACACGCATGGCTTACGGAGGAAGAATTCTGTTCCATTTCCCCATGGAGTAAGGAAGGTTTATATACGTATTTAAAATGGCAACATAAAAAAAAAGCCATCAAAAATAAAAAGACAACTTACCTGAAAATTTATTTTGGTTCTGTCAAGAGGAGCAATAGTAGTCTTGGCCACGGCTCCAGCCATTGCTCCAGCCAACAAGGTAATAATGACCTGATGAGCATGTGAGGGAGCCTGTGAGAGAGGACAATAAAGAGACAGTAGACAGACATCCTAGCAAGTGATTAAATAGAAGACTTAAATATTATTGAACAAAGATATCTACTAATAAAATATTTCAAGTATATCACAATGCCATGAAAGTAACAAATTGTAGGAGTGTGGAGACCAATCTGGTGACCTCGCAAGACAGTGGCTGTCTTGCATGAGTGAGGCCACTGGATTGGTCTCCAGTACTCATTACACATCTGCTGATATCAGAACTCCATCATCCATCTGTTTTATATTTACTCCAGTTCATTCTAATGAGGACACTAGAGCACTCCAGGATGATTTGAATAGACTGATGCAGTGGTCGGAGAAGTGGCAGATGCAGTTTAATAAAGACAAATACAAAATTCTAAATGTTGGACAGGAAAATAACCATGCCACATGCAAACTAAATAATGTAAATCTTAATACTACGGATTAGGAAAAGGATTTAGGAGTTCTGGTTAGGAGTAATCTGAAATGAAGACAACAGTGCATAAGTGTTTGCAATAAAGTGTTGGCTTCACAGCAAGAAGTATAAATAATAGAAGTCCTCAGGTTGTTCTTCAACTCTATATAACTTTGGTTAGGCCTCATTTAGATTATGCTGCGTAGTTTTGGTCACCTTATTACAGAATGGATATAAATGCACTGGAAAACGTACAAAGGAGGATGACAAAGTTGATCCCATGTATCAGAAATCTTCCCTACGAGGAAAGGCTGAGGTCCCTGAATCTGCACTCTCTAGAAAGGCGTAGAATTAGGGGGGATATGACCGAGGTATATGAGTGGAAAACAGGAATTAATAAAGGGGATGTAAATAGCATGCTAAAAATATCTAGCACATACAGGACTCGCAGCAATGGCTTTAAATTGGAAAAATTCAGATACAGGAAGGATATAGGAAAGCACTGGTTTGGTAATAGAGTTGTGGATGAGTGGAACAAACTCCTGAGTACCATCATAGAAGTTTTAAAAATAGGTTGGATAAATACAGGAGTGGGTGTGGGTGGATGCGAATTGGACTTGACTAGCTTGTGCTACTGGGTCGGATGCCGTGCTCCTCCCTTAACCCTTTCAGGGTCGACAGGCCTTCTCCCAGACTTGTTCTCAGGGTCGACAAATTTTCGAAAAAAAAAAAAAAAAAACTTATGAAAAGATAGAGAATTTTTTTTTTATTATTAACACACTGGCTGATTCCCACCAAGGCAGGGAGGCCCAAAAAAGAAAAACTTTCACCCTCATTCACTCCATCAGTCTTGCCAGAAGGGTGCTTTACACTACAGTTTTTAAACTGCAACATTAACACCCCTCCTTCAGAGTGCAGGCACTGTACTTCCCATCTCCAGGAAGAATCTTTTTCCAATCATAATGACACCAAAAGTATGAAATTTGATGGAAAACTTACAGAATTACATTCTCACAAAGCTAGCAGTCTCGACGATGTTTACGCATTGGCGATTTTGCCCACTTTGAGCCCTATTTTCGGCAAATTCCAGTGTACTAGTCGACAACAATCATAACTATTTCGCTAGAACTCCATTTTTTTCTATTGAATGAGTACAAGAAACCACCCATTTACCAATTTCAACTATCCAATTAAGTGGTCAGAATTTAGCAATTTTGCCAATTTCACACAAATTTCAAAAGATGCCAATTTCCAAATAGGGTCCAGAATAAACAAGAAAGACATTCCTGGCACTAAAATAACATTTCCTTTGTTCATTAGTCACGTCCCCATGCCCCTCTTACATTCTTTTGCTTTCCACTTTGAATTTTTATTCTCACAAAAAATAGAAGATTTACTGTTATGCAGACTACTGAATTAGTGTAGAAATGGTACAAATAATATCAGCGCACTTGAGAAAGAATATTAGACTCACCAGCTGACGTGTATTGGACGCGTAGCATGATTTGTTTACTTTTGAACTTTGGCAGAATTTTTGAGCTCAATTTCAAGGTACTTTTTATTGTAAAACCAATCAAAATCATCTCAATTTCTGTAATATGTCTTCCATTCTATATTATTATTATTATAATCAAGGGGGAAGCGCTAAACCCGGAGGATTATACAGCGCCTGGGGGGGATATGTGGAAGGCATTCAGGCTTAATTCGGGGAACTGGAGCACAGATCCAATTCCCTAAATCAAGAGCCCCTCACCAACATCAAGGAACCTTCCTTGAGGGGTTCCATTCTATAAAATGAGACCAGGAAAACTACAATACCATCATAAATACAGTGCAAAGTCGCTGTTTTAAACCAAAAACACTGTCAAAGTTTTTTTTTTTCCTCATTACGCACTGTGTGCTGCAGGATTTTTTTTTATACTGCGCACACTGACCACATAGACCCATTCTTTCATATGTAGGCCTACCAGCTTTCTCTCACTAGATTTGAGGGCACTAGAATTTAGGCGTACTAGTACGTACGTCAAAAAACCTGGTGTGTAAGCCGTACTAGTACGTCAGAAACCCTGAAAGGGTTAAGCGAATGTGACTGACCCGACTAGGTCAAGGCATTGGCTTAAGCCGGTGGGAGAACTGGACCTGCCTCGCATGGGCCAGTAGACTTGCTGCAGTGTTCCTTCTTTATGTTCTTATGTTCTGAATGTTTCTTGAACAGTTTCTAAATACTACATATAACTTATCTTCCAACCCCTTTTGGAAAAACAAGCTAGAATCCTTTTTGTGTATATTTATGTTGTAGAAGACAAAACTGCCAAGTAAATGATTGGTTACCCATTCTACAAGTTATAACCAAAAACTTAAGTTGTATATATAAATGTGATAGACATTAAAAAAAAGTAAAGTAAATCATTGATGTTATAAATGAAAGAAAACTAATGCTCCAACACTGAGTAAAGGAAATAGATAAAAAGGTCAGGGAAACTTGAATGGTAATTAGTTGGGTGAATTTAATCCGATGTATCGAAACAGTAAGAATTATGTTTTGCTGTTTCCTCATGTAAATCACACAATATTTAACAAACCATTTCTAACAGACCATGATCATCTTTTTACAATAGGTATTACTGCATATATCAGAGCATGGTCAAGATTTTATGACAAATTTTTAAGCAAAAAGTCGTACAAGAATGGTATACAATACCGGCAAGATGAAATTAAGACACACGTGCAACACCTGGGTATCTTTATTGTAGAAGTTTCACCATCCAGTGGCTTTATCAATACAAATTCCAGGACAAAACTTGAAGACAGTAGAACTATGTACAGAAGATGAGGTAATCAGTCCCTCAACCATGGAGTAGGTGCGAAGAGCACCGTAGTCATTGAAGGACTGATTACCTCATCTTCTGTACACAGTTCTACTGTCTTCAAGTTTTGTCCTGGAATTTGTATTGATAAAGCCACTGGATGGCAAAACGTCTACAATAAAGATACCCAGGTGTTGCACATGTGTCTTAATTTCATCTTGTCGGTATTGTATACCATTCTTGTACACAAATAACCCGCACATAAAAGAGAGAAGCTTACGACGACGTTTCGGTCCAACTTGGACCATTGACAAAGTGACTTTGTCAATGGTCCAAGTCGGACCGAAACGTCGTCGTAAGCTTCTCTCTTTTATGTGCGGGTTATTTGTGTATCGTTCCAGTCACGGTATTGTGCCTTTTTGTTATTTATTCTTGTACAACTTGTCAGACACTGCAACATCATGGAATCTTGATTCTGAGGACATGTACATAACCTTTATGACTACGACAACTACTACAACTAACCCATCTCTTTGGGTAGGACCTACTTCCACTGGGGAATCCTGCCTACCAGCGACTATGGCCTCGTCTGCTACACATCTCATTTCCACCTGACGTTAGTATATAAGCGTCAGGCACCTTGCTTCTGCTTCAGAATCTCCACAACTACGGTGCTCTTCGCACCTACTCCAAGGTTGAGGGACTGATTACCTCATCTTCTGTACATAGTTCTATATTCAAGTTTTGTCCTGGAATTTGTATTGATAAAGCCACTGGATGGTGAAACGTCTACAATAAAGATACCCAGGTGTTGCACGTGTCTTAATTTCATCAAGCAAAAAGTCGAAGGAGAGGGGATGGGGTAGCCTACTCATACAATTCTTTTGAGAGGTAGATATTCTTGCAAACTGATGATCTATCACACACATTAGATTCCTATATCTTTAGTGCATCAAGGTAAAAATTGCCCAATAACAATATTTCACTTAAAATACTCAAATTTTATATCCAGAAGTTCATGCTGGCCTCTTCCTTCACTTGCAGCACATCAGATAAGGATAAAATGAAGCTACCACAATCAGAAAGATGTGCAATACTGTATTAACTTACCCCATCTTTTGCAAGGGCTTCTTTTTTAAGAAAGCCTGTATACTTTGTACTTTCATCATCTTTCACTAGTGGTTCATCTGGAATGAGAAAGGATGACACTTCATCTGTAGAGTCTCTGGTTTCTCTACTATCACCAACTCTGAAATTAAGAAGTGATAGTTAATTGGAAATACTTCAATTACATCGAGACTTTAGTACCCATGAAAGGGTGAACAAAATTATATTTTTAATACTTCTGACCCTTTCACTGAATTGTCATTTCTTTGGGAACACACTATCATCAGATTTAGCACACACGTTGTATGTCGAATAAATTAGGACTTGAATAGTGGGTGATTATTCTAACAGCTGATTAGGTAACAATGCATTTTAGGTGACTGGCCATTTTAGATCCAATCGCAGAATAGGTGAAGTAGGGATAGATAAGAAAGTAGAACAAAGCAATGCTGTTTGTGGAACATATGGAGTGCATTTCTGATAGAATGATCACAGTTTGGTAATTTTTTTAGATATGTGTTAGATATGCAAGATGAATTTCAAGTTGCAGTCAGAGTATATATATACTATACCAAAGAATTTTCTGTCATCTAGACTGTCTACGGGAAAATTATTTTTAATATTAAATGGAGGAGCTCTTTTTATCTTTAGTCCCAAACATGTAGAAGGTCTTGTCAATACTGAGTAAGTTTGTTGGCTGTCATCCAGATATCAGCATCAAATTAAGCGTTAAACTCTTTGATGACTACATGTTGAGGACAGGATCTGGATTCAATATAATGAATGTTTTTATCTTAAAACAGGACTGATTTAAGTTCCTGGGAGGCATTTGGTAGGTCACTGATGTAAATGAACAATAATAGCAGGACAAGAATGCTGTCTATTGGCACCTCATGCTGATAGGTTGAGCTGATGAGGTAGTGTCGATAAGTCACCTGCTGACATCTGTCAGTAAGGTAGGACTTTATGGAAGTAAGAGCATGGCCTCTGTCAAAAGATTTTCATAGATCAACAAAGAGGCAATTCTAGAGCTGAACAGACCAAGTTTTGTTAGCATCATTATTTATACATTTTCTGAAGTCAAACTGGCAAGAGTTTGGTGTATTATGCTTAGTTATAAATACTTATACAGCATTCATTTATTATCTTTTCAAAGATATTAGATAATAATGGCAAGTCAGAGATCAGTTTATGAGTTCCTGATTTAAGTTGAATCATCACCTTTAGGGAAGGTATAAGATTTACTGAAGTTACAATGATAGGTGCCAACACATAGGCAGCATTCTTATACAGTGAACCCTCGTTTTTCGTAATTAATCCATTCCAGAAAGTGTGACTATTATCAAAATTGACGATTTGTGAAACCATTTTCCCCATAAGAAATAATATAAATACAATTAATCCGTTCCAAACACTCAGAAGTATTAAAACAAAAATTTTTTTTACACGAAATCTAGATGTACATACACAGAAAGCAATGAGACATGATGAATGAAACATTAACTGCATAACATTTACCTTTATTGGCAATTCTTCTTAGTGTATGGAAGACTGGAGGAAGGGAGAGAATGGATTATTTACCATAAAGACTTCAGGTACCAAGTCCTTTTCTGGTTACTTCCCTTCTTCATGTTTTAATGTCCCTAGGGCCAGCTTGAGAGTCACTGCACACCTGTGGCACTAAATACTTGTCCAGAGAGCTCTGTTTCTGGCATCTCTTTAAAACTTCCCTAAAATGGGCCAAGACTGTCACTGTACATGTTGCTGACATGGCTTGCAACAGCTTTGTCAGGGTGATGCTTCTCCATACATCTTTCCATCCTACTCCACATTTCAAAAATCTCCTTAATTTCTGAAGAAGGCACCTTCTTCCATCTCTCTCTCCCTCCTCCTCTGAAGCAATATTCTGAGCTGTGGGCTCTTGCTGTTCCAGATGAAACTCTTGCAGCTCTTCAGTGGTTAGCTCTTCGTTGTGGTCCTCCAACTCTTCCTCATCCTCCAAGCTCACATTCAACCCCATGGAATTCCCCAATGCCACAATAGATTCCACAACTGCCATAGGCTCCTCAAGGTCAGCCCAAACCCTTCAAAATCCCTCTTGTGGACACAATCTGGCCACAATTTTCTCCAAGCAGAGTTCAAAATCCTGGTAGTCACTCCCTCCCAAGCCTTACCTATAAGGCTTATGCAATGGAGGATACTGAAGTGTTCTTTCCAAAACTCTCTTAGGGTCAAGCAAGTGTCTGTGGTCACGTTAACCCTTTCAGGGTTTCCGACGTACTAGTACGGCTTACACACCAGGGTTATTGATGTACTAGAACGCCTAAATTCTAGCGCCTTCAAATTTAGCGAAAGCTGGTAGGCTTATATATGAAAGAATGGGTCTATGTGGTCAGTGTGCACAGTATAAAAAAAAATCCTGCAGCACACAGTGCGTAATGAGAAAAAAAAAAAACTTTGGATTAAAACAGCGACTTTGCACTGTATTTTCGTATGGTATTTATGGTTGTATTCTAGTTTTCCTGGTCACATTTTATAGAATGGAAGACATATTACAGAAACTGAGATGATTTTGATTGGTTTCACAATGAAAAGTACCTTGAAATTGAGCTCAAATTAGCAGAAATGTTCAATTTTTACCAAAGTTCAAAAGTATACATATCATTCCAAGAGTCCAATACACATCAACTGGTGAGTCTAATATTCTTTCACAAATGTGCTGATATTATTTATACCATTTCTACACTAATGCAGTAGCCTGCATAACAGTAAATCTTTTATTTTTTGCGAGAATAAAAATTCAAAGTGGAAAGCAAAAGAAATGCAAGAGGGGCCTGGGGACGTGACTAACGAACAGAGAACGTGTTATTTTAGTGCCAGGAATGTCTGTCTTGTTTATTCTGGACCCTATTTGAAAATTGGCATCTTCTGAAATTTGTGTGAAGTAGGCAAAATTGCCAATTTCTAACCACTTTATTGGATAGTTGAAATTGGTAAATGGATGGTTTCTTGTGCTCATTCGACAGAAAAAATGGAGTTCTAGCAAAATATGATTTTTGTCGACTAGTACACAGGAATTGGCCGAAAATAGGGCTTAAAGTGGGCAAAATCGCCGAAGCGTAAACATTGTCGAGACCGCTAACTTCATGAGAGCATAATTCCATAAGCTTTACACCGAATTTCATACTTTTGGTGTCATTATGATCTAGAAAAGATTCTCTGTCATTTCATAAGAAAAAATAATTTTTTTTTTCCGAAAAATTTTCGACCCTGAGAACAAGTTTAGGAGAAGGCCTCTCGACCCTGAAAGGGTTAATGCACATTTGAAACATTGCTTTGGTGTAGTTTTTTTTTAAGTTTGAAATGATCTGCCGATCCATGGGCTGGAGGAGAGATGTGGAATTATTAGGGGGCAAGAACTTCACTGTGATGAACCCAAACTCCTCCAGAATTAGGTCATCCAAGTTTGGAGGATGAGCAGGTGCATTGTCCATTAGCAGGAGGCACTCAAGTTCCAATTTATTTTCCAGGAGGTAATTCTTCACACTGGGGCCAAACACTTCACGGAACCAATCAAGAAAAATGTTCCTCATGACCCTTGCCTTATTACAGTGGAACCTCAAATATCGAACTTAATCTGTTCCAGGAGCTAGTTCTAAATTCGAAGAGTCTCAAAAGTGATACAATATTCCCCATAAGAAATAATGGAAATACAATTAGTCCGTTCCAGAACCCCCCCCCCCCCAAAAAAAAATACATTTTATGGAGATTAATTACAGTTTTACATACACACAACAAATATAGTGTTCAATTATGTATTAATAAATGTAAATGCACATCTAAAATAACATTTTTACTTACCTTTATTGAAGATTTGTGATGGCATCTGGAAGATGAGGAGGAGGAGGAGGAGGAGGAGGAGGAGGAGGAGGAGGAGGAGGAGGAGGCGGAGGAGGAGGCGGAGGAGGAGGCGGAGGGGAGGCGGGAGGGGGAGGCGGAGGAGGAGGCGGAGGAGGAGGCGGAGGAGGCGGAGGGGGAGGAGGCGGAGGAGGCGGAGGCGGAGGAGGAGGAGGCAGAGGAGGAGGCGGAGGAGGAGGCAGAGGAGGAGGCAGAGGAGGAGGCAGAGGAGGAGGCGGAGGAGGAGGCGGAGGAGGAGGCAGAGGAGGAGGCAGAGGAGGAGGTGGAGGAGGAGGCAGAGGAGGAGGAGGAGAGAGAGAGAGCTTGAGAGTCACTGGACCCTTCTCACAAAATAACTGTCCACAGTCCTCTGTTTCTGGCACCTCTAAGATTTCCCTAAAATGGGACATGGTTTTGTCACTGAACTTGTTGCAAAAATGGCTTGTTTCAGCTTGCTCAGGGTGGTACTTCTGCACAAACACTTGGACATCATTCCACCTGGCACAAATCTCCTTAATCTTTGAAGAAGGCACCTCATCCACTCCCTCTTCCTCCTCCTCTGAAGCAAGGTCCTCAGCTGTGGTCTGATACTGTTCCAGATTAAGCTCTTCCAGCTGTTCAGTGGTTAGCTCTTCCCTGTGGTCCTCCACCAACTCTTCCACATCCTCGCCACTCACCTCCAGCCTCAGGGTGTTCCCCAGTGCCACAATAGAGTCCACAACAGGCAGAGGGTCAGCTGGGTCAGGGACAGGGTCAGGGTCAGCCTCAAACCCTTCAAAATCCCTCTTTTGGACACAATCTGGCCACAATCGTCTCTAAGAAGAGTTCAAAGTCCTGGAAGTCACTCCCTCCCAAGCCTTACCTATAAGGCTTATGGAGCTGTAGATATTGAAGTGATTCCTCCAGAACTCTCTTAGAGTCAACTTAAGTGTCTGTGGTCACTTCAAAGCACTTTTCAAACCCTGCTTTTGTGTAGAGTTTTTTGAAGTTAGAAATGACCTGCTGGTTCATGGGCTCGAGGAGAGGAGTGGTGTTAGGAGGCAAGAACTTCACTGTTATAACACTGAAGTCCCAAGACAAGAGGTCTAATAAGTTTGAAGGATGAGAAGGAGCACTGTCCATTAACAGGAGGCACTCGAGTGGCAAATTATTGTCTAGGAGGTATTTTCTCACACTGGGGCCAAACACTTTATGGATCCACTCTTTGAAAATTTTCCTTGTGACCCATGCCTTATTATTTGCTTT